GAGAGAGAGACTTACAAACCACAGATATATTGCTACGACAAACACATACACACTTCACTATAATGAGAGCAAAACAAAGTATTGATTATTTAGTAAATACATTACACTAGCTATTAATTGAATAAATCAATTGTTTGTTAATATTATGGAAATTATGTAAAAAAAATAGTTTCCATATATTTTTATATCAGAAAAATTTGTTTTTATTATAACATTAAAGGAAATGACTTTTCATACCATTATATAAGTGTTTTTTATGAATGTCATAAAAATAGATATTTATGACTGAATGCATAGGAAAATCAATTGTGAAATATGTTTATTATTATATCTAATGTAATACAAGAATAAAAACATAATATAAAGGATATGTAATACCATATGAACTAAAATCATAATAACTTTAATATTAATCAACAATTTTAAGGCAACAAATAATAAGCACTTTATGGCAAACATTGAAATTAATTTTATTCATTCAATGATAACTTCAAAATACATTATATAATGGGAAGCCATGAATAAGCAGTGGACAGGGAATGAACCGGTAATTCCCTGTCCATTAGGCTCCGGGGGTCTAAACTTTATTGACTACAAAAACTCGTTTCATTCATAAAACATTCAAATTTTAAACTAACTTTATATTTAAAAAATTAATTTACAATAAAAAGCAATTATAAGCTTCACATAACATTCACGGCTATAACTGTTGGGCTAATTGTTGGCCACCGGGTGTCAGGGGAGGGGTCGGGATCGACGCTGGGGGCGGAACCGGTGGCGGGACAGCGCTGGATGTGGCCGTGGATGACGCAAACGATGGCAGTTTGAAGCCCTCCTTCTTGGCCTCGAAGAAGGTATAGGAGAGTACGATATCATTGATGTTCTCGAGGCGGGGGTCGTCGGCGTACTCGGGGTCGATGTAGAAGAACACCGGGAGGTCTACCAACTCATTGGGGTTCAGCCGCTGCTCCTCGAAGCAGAAGCACTGGATTTTGTTTAGATAACTGCCCGCTTCGTACGGCTGTACCGAATACGTGGCGATACCTGTAGTGTACGAATGGTAGCATTTTATTAATGACATGGTAATTATCGATAGACAATAAAATAATGAAAATAGTGAATGACAGGCGCTTTCGATGGCAGTGGGATTGTGATAATCGCCATGGATTAAGGCATTGGTAACATAGATAGCGATACATAAATGGCAATCGAGATTGAGAGAGAGAGAGAGAGTCAATCACACAAACCATCGACGGGTCTGTCCAACGGATTCTTGGCGGTGAAGAAGGCGAGTACAGTCTCTCCGGGATAGCACCTGATCTCGGGCTGAGTGGGCATAAAAT